GGTAATAACTTCTTTGATAATGCAGTTCCTTTACAGAGAGGTATTTGTTCCTTAATGACTTAAAAGTCACAACTATCAATGTAGTGCAATACCTGTTTTCAGTACCTTCTCTGAGACACGGAGGCATTCTTAACATGCTGTTCCACTGTTTTTGCCAACAGTGATGATGTGGCTGAAGAAAAGGTAGATGGGAACCTTGCTACTAACTCAGCAGTTGCTGTTTGAGTACGGTTTGGCTTCATTCTGGTGCCATTCCCTTACCACAGAAGTAGCTATCCAGATGTTATCTAGACAGCTTCAGTTGTGTATAAAGCAGCAAATGTTACTCGAAGGCTGTCTTCACTTTTGACTTTTAGAATTTGATTTTGGGCTGGCATTCCAGTTGTGTGTGTAAATCCAAAATGTAATTGTTTCTAGTAGCAATTTCTTTATAACTTGATGGAAGTGAGGTGGTTTTGCTTGACTGATACCTGCTAGGTCTAAGCTGTTGTCTCTAATTTGTATTATGAAATGATGCATTTTCCTTAATAACGCTGGTATTTCCACCTTTTTTTCTTACTCGCAATAGTTCTTGTGCCTGGAGTTCTTTTGCACTCCGTTGTTAAGTGCTTTTCATTTCTCCAGTTGCCCTGCTTCAGGTTTGTTTAGTGCTTGAGTTAGTAAGGAACTGGTCAGATGAGGATAGCTGTGTTGTTGCTGTATTTCAGATCCATGGAGTCATAACAGCATTCTTGCTGTGAGGACAGGCATTGTCCTGCCCCTCCCCTAGGCAAATTCTGTAGGGGAAAAAAACCCGGTCCTATTGCATTTGCACAAATACTTGGATTTGAAACTGATGATGGGTGGTGATGGTGCCTATCTAGCCAAGTATTAAATGGGAAACTCTCCCATTCACAGAAGGCCAGAGAAATGAGATGCCTCTTGCCCATCTCATGCATTCGCCAACTTGCCTTAAATGTGTAAGCAGTCAGCAAGGGACACGCTGTCTTTTCTTCAGAAGAGCAAGCTCATAACTTGTAATTAGAATTATTATCTTAAGCCCTGTGCTTCAAAAAGTGTTTTTTGAATGTCTGTGAATAATTTCTGCTACTAATTTGTTGCTATTGGTGGCTTGTTGTCCTGTGACTGGGTTGCAATATAAACAGTATACAAGATGATAATTTTTTTGCTGCCCAGCAAAGGCCAGATCTTCTTAAAGCAGAAGAATCATATTTTCAGTGTAAAGATTGCACACACACACGCCCCCCCCGCCAAGGGAGGCTGTTGGGCATTAACTCAAAGCATTCACATTTCATGTTATTGAAAGGACTTTTCTGGGCAACGAATGAGGATGATTTATTAGGGTTTATTAGGAACCTTTTATTAGCGGTAAAAGCTTTAACCCCAACAGTGTTATTTCACACCTCAGACGCTCCGCAGAGCCCACTTACTGCAAGAGAAACCTTACGAGTGGCAGCAAATGTTTTCCTGTTCTGCCTGGCGTTTCCGTGGCTTTGCCAGGAGATGGCGTAGCGATCCCGCGTGGGAAATGCGGGAAAGAGCCCAATGGAGAAAATCCCCGGAACGTGGGCTACAGAGATGTTGCAGGAGGCAACTGAAGTGGCCATAAGCTCTTGGTCTGTCTCCCCAAAGCTGCTTTTTTATCTGCTGGTGTGTTTGGATTTGTTCTAACAGCTTTTGTGTATTAACCCAATCAACAAGCTTGAGTTTATATTGAATTAGCACTGGGAAATTTTAGATTTAAACCTAAAGGATCTATCATAGGAGTAATCTAGACCTTTATCCGCTATGAAGCGTGTGTGTGTGTGTGTCAGGGAATGGTAATGTGCTGCCTTTTGTATTGGCTTAAAAAAATCACTATCTCTGCATCAAGGCTTAAGAGTTGTTCAGTATATTTACAATGGGCAACTCTGGGAAAATCCTAGCTTTTGACCTTTTGCCCTTTGGATATTACTCTTAGTATAGTTAGGTAAGGTCTATCTTGAGTAAAAGGCGACTTGCGTAAGTAGAGATTGAAAGATCAAATCACAGGTTTCTTGCCTGAGTATCCAGTTTCCTCTCCAGCTTTACGCACGCTTATTACAGTGTTTGCAAACACTGTATTTGGGTTCCTGCCCACAATTTTGAAATGTAAATGTGGCTGCTTATAGTATCTTCCCTACTTCAAAACTTTCCTCATGCAGAATTGGTATTGTTGTAGCCTTAACTATTCCCGTTATGGTGCTGAGTTCAGAGAAGAAACTATTTGTCCTTTCAGTCACTTTGAGGTCCATGGTTTGTTGTGCTATTAAGTCCAACATTGGCCTATTCCTGTATTTTTGTAAATGGGGGTTGAATGTTGTTCATGTTTTGGCAAGACTCGGGTGCTTTGGCACTACTGCAAGTAGGATGTGAGAACAGCAGGAGCAAGGTGTGCAATTTTCTATGATAATACAAATGCTGAATTGAAGGTTGGTAGAGAGGTAACAACTGTGCTGACACTTGTTCCAGCCCAGTGTGGAGAAAAGTATACAGTCAGGAGTTAGCTACAGTCACTTTGTCCCACTGGACCGTCAAGTAAGTTTACCTTGTGCTTGCAAATGTAGTTAGGATTCATTTCCCCCAAATCTGAGGATACAGTCTTGGGATCTGGCTCTTGGGATGGGAAAGGAGATGTTGCAGGCAGACAGCAGACCAAAAAAGCGACTGCCCCATTCCAGCCTTGAATGTCATTTCTTGCCATGGTGTGTGGATCTGTCAAGCTGTTTAGCTGCAATATGACAGATTGTCCTATTAATGTGTCATCAAGTGCACTTTTACAAATTCATGGCTTGTCTACAGCTAACCTGAAAAAAGAGGCTTAAGTATGAGAAGGCGCCAAAGAAAGTTAAATATTATTAACAAATAAAGTCTGCCACGTAGTTTTGATGGAATGTGAGCTAGTTGGGGGAGGGGTGATATGCTGTTAACTATTTAGCTTCTGTGTAACTTCCCTTCTTACTCTCTCTTCTCTTTCCCAAACTCCATTTTTCTCAAAAGATGCTTTAAAAAAAATACCTGTATTCTACTTCTTGATTTTGTGCTCAGATTGTTCGTGCCTCAGTTTCCCTGAGCCACGGATAATAGAGCTGTTGCTCCTGATCCACCCTGGCTGCCTTTAGAGTCCACTGAAGAACTGTTCTGGCATTATGACCTGGGTTACAGAAGGCATGGTAAAGGGATTGTTTAATGAAAGCAAATGTGTTGCTAGCTGACTACATAAGGGACTTCAAATTATGTCACCTTTTATAATTGTTGGACTTTCTCGTGGTACAGTCTCAGCTAAATTTTTGCATCACTCTCCATATTTGTAGAAAGAATAGGAATATTTGTTCTAGGTGGTGGGGAACTGACAGGTTTGAAGACTGTCCAAGTACTTCAAGGTCTCCCTTATGCAATGCTCTTAGATATGTGTAACCTCTGGTTTTCCGTTATTTTTAATAAACAGCCCACCCTCCTATAAAGAAATGGGAGAGCCCCCCCGGAGCCAGCCTCTAATGAGAGCGAAGGGAAAAAGTTGTGTGGAACACAGCTAACTAGAGTATAAAGCAGGAGTTCTGATGTATCGATGTGTGGTGCGATGCTGAGTGCGTATTCCAAGCCACATATTTTTAGCTCTACCACACACTCATGTTCAGTATTACAAACTTCCCAGAAAAAATGGTGATTTCTCTGAGATAATGAAGGGGAGGTACAGAATAGGGCTGAGGGGAGGGAGCAAGGAACGGGCATTGATTTAAATCTGCCTGGCACACGGGCCAGCTCCACTTATCAGTGAGTCTAATAGGAATGTGAAGAGAATAGGCTTGACAGCTCATTAGAATGTGATCCCTCCTCCTTTTTTTTTTTTTTCTCTTTTTTTCCCCTTTCTTGAAGTTGATGGAAACTCATTCAGGAAAGAAGTACTTATTTGCTGAGGTAAAGCAAAAGCTGAAGAGGGTTTTGCCAGTGTGCAGCTGGGGAAAGGAGCAGTGAGAAAAATCGGATGTGATCTACACGCAGAGGTACCTGAAATCTTGCCTAGTGTGACAGGAGGTGAGGATGAAAAAGACACAAGATTCTGCATCCTGACAGCTGCTTGTGGCACCGGGACTTGCTGCTCATCATCTCATTAAAGAAAAGTGAAGATAAACCCAAGTAAAGAGGGAGAGAAGCTAGACTTGGGAAAACTTTATCTGCTCCTAATGGACCTAGGTACATCTTCAGATTCTTTGCTTCTCCTTGTTTTAACTTTTATGATATGAGAAATTTGTTTTCTCCTTAGAAGGCTGAGCACTTGGCTGAGCTGTGATGCTTTCAGCCTCTTCAGAAGAGCAGTGGCTGTAGCAGCCTTGGGTTGCGGTTCCCCAGCATCTTCAAAGGAAAGGATGAGGACTTGTCACTGAGGAAAGGGCAGTATCATTCAAGAGAGAATGGATGGAACGTATTGAAGCCTGCTTTGAACTGAACACAATGCTTCAAATGACAGAAAGTGAAATCTCCTGTTGAAGAGGAGCAACCCAACAACTCCCCTAATGAGTTTGTGTTGTCAGCTCCGGCCTGAGCAACTGTTGCCCTGAGCAATTTGACTTCTCTAGGTTTCATAGTTGAGTGCATTTTAAACGAGTCTGGAGACTTATTGGGGGGTGGCGGGGGAAGACACTTCAAGGTGGGTGGCAGGACTTTCCAGGGCCCCTTGTATTTATGTAAGCTTCAGGAGGCTGAATGGACTTACCTCTTTCTTCGAGTGAATCCAGATTTTCAAACAAGTTTATCTATACCATTTCCATGTGTCCTGCTTGAACAGAGATCTCACCAGCAACCAGCACATCTGTGCATGCCGCTCGTTTGACATTGCATAGCCCAGAGGCTCACCTTTAATAGTTCTAACCTTTTTATTTTTTATTTTTTTAGAGAGAAGTCTGTGTCTATTCCTATTATTGGTGGTGAAGGTTTTTGTGCTTGGAGAGTGCCCTTCCTGACTTGGCCCCTCCCTTTTCAAAATGAAGGGGTGCACCTGGGTATTTGTGGCAACTTTACTTTGTCAGCAGTTTTGCCTCTTCAGAGTTATGGCAGCGAAGAGAGAGAGAAAGATGAAGAAAGAACCTAATCAGTATACAGAGCCTTTCAATGCTACCCTCTCAAACAGCGAAGAGCTGCACGGGCATCCCAAGGTAGGTGTTTACGCATTGTCAGTTCTTGGTAGAACTTATTTCTGGCAGTAATGTGATGCTGGTTCCTTTTTCCGATGATTGAGGCAATCTTGGCAAATTCTATTTGATTTTAAAGAGAAATGTTCTCTCTTTTGCCTGTGCATGATTGATTTTTCTAGCTTACTGAAGCAAACACTGGAATACTGCAATTTATTTTAGAATATGCATGACTGAAGTTCCAGTCCTATGGTAGCTGATTAAGTGTAAAGATATTTTGGAGTTCTAGTGTATGAACACTATCCTGTTCAGAAACAACTGATTAAAAAAAAGTCAAGTAGGCTATCGCAGTACAGCAGTGATACTGGAATATTAATGTATCTCCTCCAGACAAACCCTTTACTCTCTGGAACATTATTTCAAAACTGTCTTAGGCAACAGTATAAACACCTGATCACGGCTGAGCTTTCTCTGCACTGCGCCTTCCACCGCAGAGGCTGCGGTGACTGAAAATTACAGATGAGAAACATTTTGGTGTAGTCAGATGATCTGTTTAATGTGATTGTGGCTCTTGTAGGAAAGGATTCAGGGAGAATATGACACTGAGAAAGGAGGGAGTCTCCCCTATCACACAGCCACTTCTCTCTCTCTCTTCCTTTCTCTGGTCACACAGAAATGTCCCTTGTTTCAAATGGAGGTGACCTCTAAAACATGACTTTGATCACAAGCATTAGGGATGGCAGTCACTATAGCAATAGAGGAACAAACCTGTCAAAAATTGGGGCATGGCAGAGGGGGCAAGTTAGAACAATTGGGCTGACATTCTAAATATCCTATTCAATGCTATTGTGAGAGTAATTGGTTAAGGTTGGGCAAGTCTGGGAAACAGTCCTCTATATAAAAAAGCTGGCTGCTACACTTAAAATTATCATTAAGGGACTGTAAGCAGCGTTTCTTCGGCTAATTCTTTGTTGTGTGTTGCAGGGCTCTGTCAGGACAGGTTGTATACATGCTGAATTCTTGAGGTGCTTATAATCAATCACTTTCTTCTACCCTCTCTAGAACTGCCTCATTCTGCTTTTGCAAAAGGGGCCAGATACATATCTGGTGCAACTAAATTTCAGTCTATTCTGGAATTAATTTGGCTTGACGTGAAATGTATTGGACCGCAAGCACAATATATTCTGATTGCAAATGCAAGCAGAAACTGGTCCTGGTTAATTCTGATACAGTCATACATACATTAGTGCTAGAAGAAACACAGTACTCATTCGGAGGCTAGTGGGCATTCATTAAAACAGACATTGTTTGGAAGCTGCAGTTTCTGTGTTGAAGTACTTTGCTTTAAAATATCCATGGCAAAAGTTTGGCTGCAGTAAGAGCTGGCGAGCTCAGTGAAGGCAGGTTCTGTTTAATAAGGACAGGACGAAACCAAATCTTTGATGTAAATGCTTGTGAGCTCTGCTTGATATCCACTCCCAAATTTTGCAATGCGAACTTTTCTCCTTGGAATCTATTTGAGGCTGAAGTCCGGGCTCCAGTTAAGTATTGGTTCTAAGTGTCATGGGTTGACTGTATTGTGTTTTATATTTATATAGCATCTGCCCAAGCTAAGGAATTATTTTACACATACCATAAATGCAGTGCTTAAGAATTGCCACCGTTTCTGGGGTAAATGACAGGACACAAAGCATCACAACTTGCATTCACTAAGGGAAGAAGTAGAGTAATAGTGAAGCTATCCTTACCTAACCCATCAAGTTAAAGGAAGGTTGAAAGCAGTTCTCTGTCTCTTTGAGCCTTGAAGGTACTGCCCTGAGCAGGTTTGTTTCGTGAAAGGGTGCCCTGCACAGGAAAGCGAAACAGCAGCAGTGTCCCATTTCACTTCTCTACAGCACCTAACAGGAAAGATGGAATTTTTTTTGGCCTTGTACCGTAAAAATTAAAGCTGTGTTTACCTTGGAAGACTCTGTGGCCAGCTGGTAGGTTTATCAAAGCAGAAAGAGCAGGGAATGAACTATTAGCTGAGAGTAGTGATTTTTATTCATACTGTTGAAAAGGTAGATGTGTTTTCCTTCTAATTAAACAAAACAATTTGGGACAAATTTATCTTGGGAATTCTTTTTAAATAGGAGTGGAGAAAGCTCCCCTTTAACATTCACAGGGCATCTGGTGAAACCTCTACCTAAAACAGGGAAGCAGAAGTCTCAAATCTCCTGATAAACCCGATATTTCCAAGGAAACAGTGTGTTGGATTTCTTCATTTGTTTTAACAAAAAAGGTTTCCTCCAGTCTTCTCTTTGCTGAGTTGCTGTCAATGGGATGTGCTTGCCAAGCACATGAGAGTTTTCTTCTCTGACACAGATGGATTAAGAGAGAGAACAGAACATGACTGATGGATACAGAGGTTTTAATCTACTGGACCTTCTTACTTTGACTGTGTGTGACTAAGTACCTGCAGCTGCCACTTGCCAGGCTTGCCTTCCCCTTCCCAGGCATAGATCTTGTCTTGCAAGATGTGATATTTTACTAACAGGGGTTCAACAGTAGTAGATTGCCCAGTGGTTATATAGGGTTGACACTGGTCAGGAGTTACCATTTGATACCTGAGTAGAGGGAGTAGAGATGGAGTCAGGCTCTTGGTGCCCCGTTAGAGGACAAGAGGCAGTGGGTACAAGTTGAAACAGAGGAAATTCCACTTAAATGTAAGAAGAAAAAAAAGCTTCTTTACTGTGAGGATGGTCAAACACTGGAAAAGGCTGGACAGCGAGGCTGCGGAGTCTCCATCCTTGGAGACAGTCAGAACCTGACCACACATGGTCCAGAGTAACCTGTTGTGGTTCACCTGCTTAGAGCGGGGGTGTTGAACTAGACAATCTGTGGACGTCCTTTCCAAGTTCAGTTTCTGTGAGCTGCTTTTAGCAGTAGTTCAGCTAAGCAACTCAGAGGCAGCATCCTAACCTGGGTAAAATTATTGATGCAGCATCTCAGAGAAACTTCAGGGATGATTTCAGGTGAGCAGGAGTTTACCTTCAGTGGAATTTCTGCAAGAAATAGTGTAATGTTTTTAATTTAGTTATCTATTACGTAGCCAAGGGGTCCTTGAAATTTTATTTCCTTTGTGATCCTTCTATCTCTGTCAAATATCTAGGGCTATGTCTATCTGGTTTATTACTTAAACCTCTCTGATTATTTCTTTGGAGCCTTTTGCTTCCAATTGAAAACAGCAGCTGGTTCAATGACATTGCACAGATTGCATTCCTCCTCTGTAAAGAGATTTCAGTCTTAGCCTGAAGTGTGTGATTGCATGTGTAATTGAGAAAAGTAATTGACAAGTATTAAAGCCACAGGAGAGACTGGACCATGACCTGTCTCTAGTAGAAGACCTTATCTTTCATGTTTTCTATCTGTTATCATTGTCAGTCTTGCTCTGGCGTATTATGAACAAGAAGGGCTACAACAGCATGCTTCCTAGCAGTTCCTTGTGGCCCATGTGAAATTATGTTGGATTCATACATCTGACTTGACATATCAAATAATTCAGTGCTTGGTCTCATTTCCCAGAGCTGTTTGTAAGATTTTTAAAGCTCATTGTTAAAGTATGTAGTCCTACATCAGATGCAGCTTTGTGTGCTAGATGCATCGTGCTACACCTGTTTTATTGGTGCTCCTCAGTTCCTTCCCTTTTTGTGTTGTCCCTAAAGACAGAACTCTACTGGTACATCCAGGGGTGGCAGTGATTAACATTGCAGTACAGCTAACGCAACAACAAACATGATGTCGTTTTCTCACCTAAAGTAGCTCTTGCTCACATGAACTGTTCTATTAAATTCATTAAATTCATTATGGGTGTGACCGCTGAAGGCAGTTTACGTTTAAGTGGAGAGGAGAAGCTTTTTGACATAACCATTTAGAGGAGTGAAGAATAATTTTTCAATCACAAAATATAGTGGGAATTTAGGTAGGAATTCCATTTTGGATTTGGCTAAGGTACCAAACCTAACACTTCTGATCTAGGGAAAATTCTTGAGAGATCTGTAAAAACCACAAGTGGTCAGGACCTTGGTTTTACATCTCATTAATAACCAAGAGTGTGTATAACCATAAGTTATTAGCAGCTGACATAGGATTTTTCATGCTATAAACAAAAAAAAAAAAGTGGTCTGTCACTTTTTAGCCTGTTCCAAGCCAAATACACTGCTGAAATAATTTACTCCTAATTTCATAATGAAGCTGACAATACTCTTGCTGGTGTAAATCAGGTGTAACAACATAGAAATTTGTGGATTAAGATAACTGAAATGCTTAGTCAGGTCCGCTTTTTGTCTGGCAACTGCTTAACTACGAAGCAAAGCATTCTTAAATATAATTCCATCACAGATGGACAAATACATGGATACCTGAGCAAAACTTGCAGGGCAGTAACTTCAGGCATGAAGAGTGTGGACTGGATTGGTTAGATATATGTTCTTGGACACGCATCTCTAAATAATTACAGGTGGAAAGGATGCTGTTCTTTTACACAATTGTAACCTTTTCATGCTTTCTTGTCATCCTCTCCCACCCTGAGAAATGCTTAGGTGTGCCTGAGAACACTTTGAGATACTTTTTGATGTACAGACTTGCTCACAAGGTAGTGTTGACATTTTTCTTTTATTCATCCGGACTCTGAAACGACTTTTATCCATTTCACTTTGGTTTTTAGCAGAGATGCAGAGTGGATCCCGCTATCCTTGAATTTCAGGAAAGTTCAGATGCAGTTCAGAAATTTCTCAGGATCCAAACTCTGCTACTTGACTGTAGGTTTCTGCTAGTAGTTTCTTCCATGCTGGCTGAATCTTGGCCAGAGACTGTGTGTCTCTGGGCAGTGCGTGCTGTTCTGGGAGTTAGAGCCAGAAAGAACCACAGGTTCTGCTTGTGTACAGCAGTTGAAATTACAGCTCAATTTGTCTTTTATTGTGAGGGAAGTCAGGGACAGAGTGGGCTAATTTCTCATCAGTGTCATAGGCTGGTTCTGAAGCGATAGGTACCATTGTATTCAGATTCCAAAGTAATCTTAAAAGACCTGATTGAAAGTTCATTAAAAATTGCTGGCAAGGCTTGTGTTGACTTTGGAGGTACTGTTTCAAGTGTTAAGGAGTAAGCCTGATTTCACTGCAGTTAACATGAGGATTCCTCCTGACTCCGGTAGGTTAGCTTTGCTCTCTAAACAGCACCCCAGGAGGGACAAGTCCTCTTTGCTGGGATTCCAAGGCTGTTCTCAGTCCTGACTGATACCTGAGTTGGCTGCGAGGTCTCTCTGGCTGCTGGAGGCTGCTGCTGCCAAGAAAAATAGAGGCTTGCATGCTTATTGCTGGGATTGCTTATGCATGCCATAGTAATTAAATAATAATACCACAAGGATGGAACATTCATTTTAACTGTCAATCATCCTTGTGCTGGAGAAATTGGGGAGTGCCATGACTGTCTTGTAGAGGGATTTGTAATTTAAGCATGCCACTGGAGAGGTATGGAATTTTTTTTTAATTTTTTTTTTTAAACTTCAGGAGTTTTTCATTTATTTTTCTGGGATGTGCCATCTGGATTTCTTTTTTCTCCTTGACAAGATGTCTGCTCTGGCCTGTTTCTTCACAGCTGGAACTCCAGAAAGGCTGAGGACATCTGTTTGTCTTCACAGTTAATGGTCAGAGTCTACCCATGATTGCTGCCTTCTGCTCCTAGCTGGCCTGTTTCCTCATTTTTGCAGTGGAGGGGAGTTTATGCCTGTCTTGCAGCCTGGTGGAAACCAGGAATATTTGAATAGTCTCTTCCACATCTGCAGCAAATGCTGCATCCCAGTTCCTAAGACTCTGGTCTTGTTTGCTGTGTTGTGGAGACTGCACTTCTGAGTTCCTGCCACATGAGCCAGCCCTTTTCGAAGGACGGACTGATTGCATTTCCCTTTTCTCTGCAACCCAGCTGTTCTTTTGCTGGCTTCTGTTACCGCACTGAGGGAATACTTCATCCTGCCTAAATTGGGTGCTTCTATTAATAAGTTGCATCTTTCTGTTTTGTGAACTGTACTGCAGCTTTACCACAGACCTGTCAGTCCCAGTCACTGGGACAAAAAGACATCTCCTTCCTCTGGGCAAAGCACGGGTAGGCTTTTACCTGCTTTACATTTATAAGCTATAATATTATAAAATATAATATAATGCTCATAAACACAGTCCTCTGCAGGTGTGACCTTGTGTGTGGTGATGCTGCACCCATCAGTTTGCAGATGAAGGGGGGTAGCAAAGAGTTATCTTCTCCCATCAGAAACCATTAAACCTCCATGAGACTCTGAAAAATATGTTGCATGTTTGTTGTAGAAATAAGCTGCACCTCGTCTGCTGTTCTAAGGACTTTTGCAGACTTTATGAACGTTTGCCTCTGGACTTAACGTTTACATGTTAGAATAGATAGAGAGGTTTGCACCAAAGGACCTTCTTGGCCTGTCTTTGACTTCTTATGCTTTGCAAAAAGCTGCAGTCAAGCAATCTGTGGGAAGATGATAGTGTTTTAGTGAGGTGATTAATCTCACAATACCAGGGATTTCCCATGGTGCTTGATTGACGTGACGTTCCAAGGAAATTTCGGAAAGCTATTTAAGTCCTGGGTGCGGTAAGTAAAAACGGCAAACAGTAATTTAGCTAAAACAACCTACTAGAACGCCGTGACTTAACACACAATTGAGAGCTGACTGTAAATGTGGTTATAAACATAAAAAGCCTGTTTAAGACTGATTTTGGTACAGAAATAATGAACTAGATTGTCATGAATAGTTTCTCTTGCTCTTGTTTGTGATACGTGCTAAATTTGAGCATTGGGGGGAGTATGCATAACTGTACTCTGGCAAAATGTCTGGGGATATCCTTGCTTTGGCTTAAAGCACAGACGCCAGCGACTCTGCAGCCATCTAGCTGGAGGGGAGGATAAGTGGATTGCATGAATAGAGCAATTCAATAGAAGTAGATCTTTCTGTGGGTTGTGTCTGAGCAGTAAATCACCTAAGATTATTTGCTGAATAGAGAAGATAGAGTTGGCTTCACTGAGGTTGTGATGCGTGTTTAATGAATACCCTTGCTCAGCTCGCAACACATCTGATTTCTGGGGAGCTGCTCGTAGTCTGCTGGTTTGTAAATCATCTGTTGATCCAAGCTGTTTGAAATAAATAGTTGTGATCACATCAGCTCAGAAATCTATGGACAAGTGCCTTGTACTACACCCGTGTGCCTGGATGCATGCCGGAGAGAGAGAGCTTTCCAGGCTCTGCATCAGCTTAGAAGCACCGACATTCCTTGCAACCTCAAGCTGGAACTCCAGCAGACTTCTAAGATTTAATTTTGTAACAATTTACACTGCATGGATTTTTCACAGCAGATCACACAGACTGTGGTCTTTCCTCCTCGAAATGGGCTTGCCCCGATATTTCTAGCTAGAATTTGCAATCTGCTGTCCAATTCATGTTGCTTTTAGACAGTGACATATATTGAAGTTATTAGGACCTCAGCTGTATTTTAGATGATGTTTTCTACATGCTTCTGCCGACTGTTTGGTGAAAGAGAATCTATGCTTGCAAGTGGTACTAGAAATGTTATTAAAACCCAATATGGTTCTCTGAGAAGTGGCACGTGCCACTTCAACAGTGTATTGCTCTTGACAAGAGCGTGGCAGGGAATTGGTAACCAATGATTTCTGATGCCTTTTTTTAATTTGAAGTTAGAAGTTCATTCCTAGCTTAGGAGAAAAACAACAGGTATGGCTATTTGATCACTTCTGATTGTCTCTGGGAGGTGACTAATGGGAACGAGGGAGTCCAATAGGAAGTGGACCCAAATGCATAATGACAGATCGTCTCTTCTGTCCAGACTTTGTTTAGAAGGGATCCAGAACTACGCACTGTAGTGTCAAAGCTTCTCTAGATAATTTCACTGTGGCTGTGATATACTTGCAGAACATAGGAATGGGCAAGGTAGTTAAATTTGGCAATGGACATCTCTTCTGTGATCAGACAGGGACTTTGTTTTTCATTGTGATTTTTTTTTTTTTTTTCCCCCTGTGTGGACATTTGTCACTCTGCAGCCTGTGATTTGAAAGCTATGGAGCATTTCAAGGTTTTCTGTACATTTTAATCTCCCTGTCAATACATTTTTATGCCAGTGGTGAACAATCTTTGGCATCTGGGCAGGTTTTCTGTGGCACATATTAGGACTGTCAGAGGGCTGAAAGTCTCAGCAGCTTGAGAAAGGTCTCTGAGCTCTGGCTCCCAGCTCTTGGCTCTTACTGATTTCTGAAGCAAAGGGAGCTGGGAGGCCCTGCAGGTGATGGCATATTAAGTTATTAGAAGGCCTTTTGGTGGTTTAGGGACAGCATCTTCTGGCTTTTGGGACATTTCTCTTGGCAGGCTTAGCCTGTAACTTACAAAATAAAAAAAATTCTCTGAACCCATGTAGGGGCCAAAGAGATACAGTGATATTAATCTTTGTTCTTGTTTCTCTTTAGATCCTAGAATCTCCAGATCCTCGAATCACAGATCCACGGCGGACTTGGATCTCCTTTGTTCACCGCCCAGATGATGGCAACACCTCTAAAAGGAGATGCAAAGGGAAAGACAAGAAATTAGTAGGTTATTGCTAGATTGCCATCAGCTAATAAATGTGCACCATGGCTTCCCTTCCTACTGCTGATGTGCAAAGTGTTTTGTATGCTCCAGCTTTTGCCTTCCCATCCCAGAGTGTGCTGCGTTTTTATTTGTTTGTGTTTATTTCTCAAAGTATTTTGGAGACTTTTGAGACAGTAAGTGCTATATACTCTGTAAGATAAGGTATGTGAATTCCACTGTCAACGTTATTTTTTTTTTTAAACCAGATTCTCTTGGACTGAGACTTTTTCGGGTTTTTTACTGCTCAGTAGAAATAAAATTAACATTTTTTTTTTCCCACTAGATAAAAACCATGTATCTCAAAGGATGTGTTAATCAAGGTTTGGACACATCGTTTATTTCAAATTAATGAATTACTGATTATCTGCTGAGTGATACGTGATCACATGTACACTTTTAATCTGCTGCTTAGACAATCTTGAATGCTTTTAATAATATCCTTTTATTTCTCAGTGAGCTGATAGGCAGGAGTGCTTCCATGGAGGTTTGCTGACGTTTAGTTGAGGAAACAGGAACTCCCTGGGAACAATATACATCAAAATAGCATTGATATCACTGTTGTATGTTCATACGACCAGTTTAACACTCTAATGTGTGGGAGGCTGACCTTTACAGGTGTTTTGAATAAACGGTTTCATTTTTTTTCCTGAGAGCTCTACTGTTGCACCAAGCACTCATATATGTGATTGTTATGTCTGAGCAACGTATATGAGTAATGTAAAGTGTGGCTAGATGGCTATTCTAGTTAGCGAATAGGTAGAATAAGAAGCTTAAAAGCCAGTAAGTTACTTTGATGATAGGAGAAGATACAGAAGCAGCAAACTTAGTCTTGTGTGCGTTGTGCTTCACGTTGTGTATATGCACTTGAAGAACCAGTTTGTGTTTACCTGAGCAAAGTTTATCCTCCCACATAAAGACCTGAGTAAATTCCAAGTGCTGGAATTCACAGCTGGCTGGAGAGTCAGTGTAAGATTTACTGCACCAGGCCTGTAGCTGAACCGATAGCAGAGGGGGCTGCTCACGTGGCTGACAGCCCTGTAGAACTGGCTCATGGCTGAGAGAACTTTTGGTCTGTCAGTGCAATTTCCTGTTTCTAATTCACATGGTTTTCTTTGGTTACTTCCTTAGCGTGGCCTTGTTGGGCCCCCAGGACCTCCTGGCCCCCAGGGACCTCCAGGAGCACCTGGTGCTGAAGTCACCCGGGAAGTCCTTCTGCAGGAGTTTAAGGAGATATTAAAAGGTAAAGGCTGTAAGAGCTTTGTGCTTTTTGTGATCTGCTGCTTTTGGTAAGCACCATTGCAAAGAAAGAACTGGCTTTGCAAATGTTTGCCTTAAAGCATTCCCCTGTCTGGCAATCAAAAATTTGAAAAAATGTTTCCCCAGTGCTGCTCAGTTTGAGTTGAAGAGTTGAGTGCAGAAGTCTAATTGCACAACTAATGCCTTCATAGACCAGGCTCTTAAACTAAGCCTTTATTTTCCTATACTTTTTCTTTTCTCCTCAGAAGCCATTGAACGTCGAGCATCGCTGGCTATATCGGCCCATCCTAGCCAGCTGCCTCCACTCCTGCTCTCCTTGGAGGAAGTTTCACCCCACAGACGTGTAGAAGAGGCATTCCATTGCAAGCTAAAAGGACAAGTCATTGTAGATAAGAAGACCCTGGTAGAACTTCAGAACTTCCAGTCGGTGAGAAGGGATTACAGACTGAACCTGTGCAACTCCACAACAGCCATTGTGCGTAGATCAGCTATAGTTCCCCTAGTCTGCAAAGCTGCTAGGGGGCTCTGTAGATAAAGGTGTTTCCTGAAAGGGCAGACTACTCCCAGAAGCTTGGCTTAGGCTTGGATGCTGTGAATATAGCACTACCTTTTCTGTGATTGATGGAAGTAGGATCTCATATGGTGATTTCTGCACTGAAGCTCAATTGCAGTGAGATGGACATTTAGCTTTGAGTCGTCTCCTTCCTGGCAAACCCAAAGGGCAGACTTTCTTCTCTCTTCAGCCCAGCTGAATCTCATTACAGTTCTTACTGCAGTTGTAACAGGTCTGTGCAAGAGAGGGCTGTCTCACAGGTCCAAACAACAGTCTTTTTATTTCAGTTAATGATGGAGAAAGACTTGTCCATGTTTGGCATTAGTCTCAAGCATCTGTTCTTTTTTTCAGTGCACACCCTGTTTAATTCCAGAGTAATGTTCAGATGTAGAAAAATGTCAGAGGCAGAGAGAAGCCATTGGTTATAGATTTGTGAGCCCAAATAAGAGCCATCGTTTTTGTTAGACGGGCCAATGCTGATGCTCAAATTCTTTACATAATGTTTTGTTGAAGACTAATACATGTTACCTATAGAATTTCATTCTAGTCATGTTGTAATGATAACAACACCATCATGGGATGCTGTAGGTCATTATAAGCATGATTACAAGGAAGCAGTTGAATTTTATATTAAAACTTCTACTAACCATTTCTGAAACAGTTGCAAATAGGTTCTGAATTTGAAGTTTAAATGTTAGGCTAAAATAATAGCTAAAACCAAATAGTTACTTGGTAATTGAGGAGGCTTCTTCTAGACTTTGGGGTCACAAAGACTGTCTAATAGCACAAGGCCTTCAGATACATGGTTGGTTTGGTGACAAGACGTGTTTGAAGAGCATGAACAAGGAATATGGCTCTCTGTCAGCAGGGTTTGCTAACATTGTTCATGCTTTAAGGTGCTGAGCTTTCTTCCCAGCTGCACTGAGTCTCATTTCTGAATAAACCTGTCCAGCAGTTCCTTTCCCATGGAGTAGTTTTGCTGCTAGGACTTCTCACAGCTACAGGACTAGAGGCAGTGGTTATGTTCTAAACAGGGTGCTTTCCTGGATCTTTCCCAAATACACTTGTGGAAGCCTGGTTTGACAGCACTGTGGGTGCTGGCACAGAGGCAAGATTGTACTTGAAGTGTGGGCAGGGCTAGAGAGATCTGCTGCCTCATTAATTAGGAGGGAAAATGTGAATAAAGACATCTCGGCAATCAGTGTGTAGGCTGATGCTTCCCATGCTTTGTTATCATACGCCTAGCTTCTTTCTAATTGCTTCTGGCCCTGAAGCTGATGTGGGAGGGCTGGCAGGCCTCTGGATGCCAGCCTTTCATTTCAGCTTTGGGACAAGAAGTGTCTGGTTTTAGCTTGTGCTCTGATATAGGGGAATTTAGCAGGGAGTGAGACAGTGGATGCTCTTGCAAAGATGAAAACATTGTCTTTAAAACGGTCCAAGGGGGAGGGAGAGAGAATTCCCCTCCCTCCGTTCTGTCAGTTTAATAGTGCGAAGAAGTCAACAGTTTGATACTTCTCAGGGACGTGATAGGGATTGACTCTAATTCCTGAACTTGGACCTCACCCAAAGCATTTTGAGATAGTGGAAAGAACCTGTGTTGAGAAACAGCCTATCACTTCTATACTCTGTCATTTGAGTATGGTGACTGAGTCACTTTGACCTTGAGAACTGAGAGAGCATGGTGGTTTTCTCATCCTTCCGTGCTAAATTTCCTCCAAGAACGCTCCCTCCCTCTCTTCCTCATGCTCTTGCAATTTCCTTAGTATCTGGAATGAAACACATGATATTCCTTTCCCCACACCTTTCCCTCCTGTGTCTCATGCTTTGGGTTTTCTCACAATTGCTTCTTGCAAAAGCTTTCAGAAAGGTGCTTTACACAGGGAGAATTGAAGTGACTGCGGCCTCTGACAGGCCATGGAAGTGGGATTTATCTGGGGCCCAGGAACATCACTGCAATCAGGTCATTTAAGGCTAAGGTGGCCTATGTGCTTTCCACGGTGAAAGATCCCAGAAGGAGTCCTGGTGTCTCCAGTGCGTTGAGGTCAAGCTAAATGTCTACCTTTTGGCAGCTGAATTTTATTGCTGCTTCAGGAGATTGGTGCGTCCCCTGTGTGTTGGGTTGTTGTACAGGCTGAGTTATCTGTTTCTTTAATAACAGATAAGTTAATGCATTGCTTTCCACGCTGTTTATCACTGAACAGCTAAACTGACAGTTCATATCTCAATTCTCTGTGCACAGTTCCTATTTTCCACCCAGAAGTAAAGTATGGAGTGAGTGAGGGAGACGTGGGGATAGGAGATGAACTGAGGAAGAGAAGCTGACCTTGGTTTGTACAGAATGGCTGGATACGAACTCGTTTGTTTGCTTTTGGTCTGCTAACTGAAATAGCTGTGTGCAAGTAGTTAGTTTCTCAGATATAAATCCCTGCAGTGTTTGAAGCAGCTAGGTGAGCGTGCCGCTGTGAGGCAGCGAATGCAGCAGGGAGCTCTAATTGGCATGGGGTTTAATGGAATATTTTGCCCAGAAAACCTCTCCCTGCATTGTCTATTTCTATGAGCAAAAGAATAACAAAGCCACAGAGGGCATGAAGAAACAGGAATGTTTTATCAGTGATAATTTACTGGTGCCTAAAATTGCCTTCCATGCTCAGCCAGTGGTTTTGGAATTATGTTGCTGATTCTGCTAATAGCTGTAACGAGAAAGGAATGAATTAACTACGCAGTACAGTTTTGCACATACAGGGTTTGGATCTGCTCTTTCAGTGAGGTAAATCAAAAATAGCAGTACCAAAAATGATGGCCCAGTCATAGCATAAGAATGGAATCAAGCTCCTTCCACAGTCTTTGTCGTTAGGTTAGCTGTTATATTGTCCGTATGTGTATACATAAAGAAAATAGCGCTCCTTTTGTGTATATATATGTGCACACAGGCACACATCAGCGCACACCGATAAATATAGAGGCTTAGAAGTCATTGTGTGAAACAGTTGTTCTGCAGTTCATTGTTACTGTTTTCCCATTATACATATGTAATCTTATGAGAAATGCCACTGCTCTTGCACATTGATATATTTTCACCACCATATGCATATATAAAACATTTCTAGTAGAGTTCTGTGAAATTTAAGATTACAGCTAGACCTCGGTAAATAAGGACTGGGAATTACTCTTTCGTGAGCCTTCCCTGGGATTTGCTGAATAAAAGCAGGTTAGTCATTTCACTCCTTCTACCATGTAGTAATTCTCTAAACAAACACCCGCAGACCCAAATATTTGCAACCTTACTTCCTTTCAAAAAGAAAGCTAAATAAATTATTCCTACCCTGCACTGTGAAAGCTGGCAATTTCTGGTTGTGATGAACCAGAATGGGGAGGCAATTAACTTCCTTCTGGTGCTTGAACAAAGGTGTTCCACTTTTTTTTTTTTTTTTTTTTAGTGTAATAGCACCTGTGGTGACACTGCTACAAATTTGTTCACCATGTCTCAGGCCCTTTTTGCCATCTAGTATTGGAAAGCGTACTCAAATGTTTAGGTTGTTGAGATCACCTAATTTTGCGTTTGTGCATGTTTTAGGGATACAGCAGTGTGTGTGCCTTTACAGAGTCATATCTGAACAGCTCTTCTGTCCCATAAGAGCAATGTGGGGCAAATCTCTCAGGACAGCATTCATGGGAATACTTTCACGTTGCACAGAATGCCCTTGCGGTGGAAGCAGAGTCTGACTAATGTTCTTTCTTGGCCTGTGGAAGCCACTCCTGCTTCTCCCCAGCTCTAGCCAAATTCATATCAGGCAGGCCAAAACTAACAATAAACATTTCTCGCAGAGTTTATTTTAGTCTGAGTCAGATAATCTGCTGTGAGTTTGACTTCAGACTGCTTCCTTGCCATGAGGAGAAGCTGCATACTATTTTACTAGATTTTTGCCTGGTCTGTAGAATGCAAGCTTAGGAAAAAATGAAGCTAAATATGGAACCTGTAAGAATCCAAGCAGTTGTTCTTTAACAGCATCAAAGCCACCTGACTTAGACCTGAATTGGGTTGAAAACCTCTGGAGACCCAGATGAATGTTTCCACTGTACTTGTATCACAAAAAGAAAAGTGTAGAAGGTTCCAGGTTTTTAAGCCTGGGGGCACCGCTTGGTTCCATCTGGGAAAACTTTGGGAGTAGTAGGGACCTCTTGAATCAAATAATGGGAGATCTTGTATTTCCAAACATCAGTGGAGGCTAGAGGCCACTGGGACCAGCAGAGCACAGGGATGCATAGGATGCAGTAAGCACAGTCTGAGTCAAGATGAGTTAGACAAGTTGGGCAGTGAGCAAAAAGGGCGTTTTCATGTCTCCTCCTGATCATTTTGCCTTTTGTGGGACCAAATGCTGAGAGTGCCCATCTGGAAGGTGTGTTCTGGGGAGATAAGGCAGTAGCCTTGCAAATTTTTTCAACTTTGTTCTCATGCACATATGCTTGCTCTTTGTCATAGGCAGAAGTAATTGTTGAGAGTGCTGGGGATTTTTTCAGGGTCTGCTCTTCTTATCTTAACAGCCTCTGGCCAAAGGAGCGTTTCTCCGGGGGACAGGATTAAATCTAGCAACAGGACGTTTCACAGCACCTGTGTCTGGCATCTACCAGTTTTCAGCCAATGTCCACGTTGGTGAGTATTGTCCACAGAAGCCTTTTCTGTACTGCTTGATCCACAGAAGCCTTTTCTGTACTGCTTGAGAGGTGCAGGGAGGAGTCCTGGAGCTCTCTGGGTCCTGTTTGGTTTGAAGCACGCGCAGTGGCAGCCCTTTGCAGCGAGCTACCCCTTTGGTACCATGACCCAAAACCCCATCCTTAGAGCTGGGTACTTTGACAGACTGATAGCCACAACAGGCTGCTCCGTGCAAACCAAACAAATCCACACTCCTCATGGAGGATGAGTTTAACGAAAAAAATATATTCAGGTATTGAAGTTATGGCTTCCATAAAAAATTTTTAGAAGAAACAAACATGATTGATGATGTAGAACTGCATCAAAGGAGGTTTGACTGTTTTGTCACCAGTGCATTCATTCAATGACTTTAAACATTCAGTGAAGAAGTATTTTATAATCCAACACCAGAAGGGTGCTTTCCCAAAAAGTCACAAGGCTACTGGTGTCTCTGTTAAGCCAAACACCAGCAATTGGTGGTCTGCTATGTTGCAAAAGTCCTTATATTTCTTCCACTGCTTTCCCCAGACCACAGTGAGTTGAAGAGTAAAGTCCAACTCCGAGCCAGAGATAATGTCCGGGTGTTGATCTGCATTGAATCTCTGTGCCACCGATACACGTGAGTTACTGCAACGCTGTTGTGGCAATTACTTTTCTCAGATGGGCCAGTGTTTCAACCAGCTGTGGAAGTCAGGTTCACCAACAGTGAATTTTCTACAATAATTGCCTGTAGAACTTTTCTGAAGAGAGTGATTCCATCTGGCCCTTAGGTTTTATGTGGGGTTTTTAATTCTGATTTTTAACCTTTTAGTGCTAATTACTCTAAATAGATGAATATTGCATATGTTGAGAGAATTGTGAATGAAGTTGGCTGAAACTGGATATAGCTAAAGGTGCTGAATGCTCAGCTATCACCATAAACGTACAGAGCGAGAGGAACACTAATTTTGTGCCAGAGGTTGTTAGCTCTATTTTTATAATTTCAACTGCATCCTGAATGGATTACAGCATCTCACTTGTGTTGCCGTGAAAGCATTGGAGCGATGAGGAGAATGAATAGGTGGTAATTAGAGGTGAACGTGTCCTGAGGCAGAAAGCCGCTGGGCTTGCATACAGGTACATGGTACCTTCTCACAGCCCTCAGCTGCCTTCTGGAGCTTGCTCAGATAACCATGCTGAATTTTCCTCTGCTGGGATCCTTTAGCAAAACTCTGCTAACGAAACACTTTTGTTAGGTCATGGCAACCTTGGGTGCTGCTCTTTACGCAGCGGGCCATGGCATCAGCGTACTGTTGGCTGCTCTTGTTTGCTTCTGTCATCCATTCAGCCGCAGCATGTCGGTGCCATGTGTCTCAAAAGGCCAGCTCAGGAGGAGTTTGGCAAGCTTTGCTTGGAGGAAGGGGCTGGGTAGCCCCTGGGCTGGGCTGAATTGTACCCAGCAGAGGGCAATGCTGCTTGCAGAGAGTGGCCACCACCTCTGCTTGTGGCTGGGCCCTCATCACCGGGGGAGAAATGCCTGTACAGGGCTGCGCAGATTTGCTCTGCCCTGCCCGCAGCTCTTCCAGTGCAGCTGTAGCAACACCCTTGCAATAACACCACTGAAATATATCCATAAAACGACTCCACAGGTGCAACTTAAAACCCACGAAACCATAAATTTGCTGCTGGACTGGCTGCTTCAGCCATCACTTTCCCTGCTTCGTGAGTCAGAGTGCCACAAATAGGACTGATCTCTCCACAGGCATTTCAATTTAGAGGCTTTATTGGCAGGTGAATTTGATATGAAGCCTCGTGTAATACATAAACCTCTCTTAGGTTTCATTGGCCTGTGGGAAAGACTTGATTGGTATCTGAGCACCCCTTAGTAACGAGGGTAAGAGGGAGCTGTGCGCCCACTGACCTGATGGGAAGTCAAGGAGCTTGTTGACTGGAGCAATTGGCACCTCCTTGGCCTTGTAGTCTGTTTTATAACAATCTTTTATGATTGCAAAACTTACAGCGAGGCAGTGACAGACTGGCTGCAGTCACAATGTCAGCAGAAGAAGGGGGGTGTAACTTCTTGCCCCTTAAAGGGATGCCTTGTATTCGGGTAAGCTGCAGAACTCACAGGACATTTCATTTCTGGCACTTGTGAGAATTCCTTTAGGTCGTTCTAAGAATGTTCCTCAGCCTGATCTTGAAAGCTGGGATGTGTGTTGACAATGAGCGATTTTTGGGACAGCCCAGGCCTTTAATCACAGGGGTGGAACAGGTATGAGGAATGCAGAGTCGTACTGTCCTTTTTATGAGTAGCTCTCACAATTTGCCTGTGCGCAGTGCAGATCCTGATTCCTGTCCTTTACTCTGCATAGCAAAGATTGGTCAGATTCAGATTCAAGTAATCAGCTTTTTTTTATTTTATTTCAACATCGCTGCTTTTTTTCTTTTCACCTACAACAATCTCCTCTTATCTTAGCAATTTCATCAAGAGCAGGACTCATGCCCCTAGCCCTTGCATTCCCCATGAAGAGAGACTGCAAGTTCCACAGATTCTTTTCCTACATGCTTTTGGGATGTGGAATGATATTTCCCCCTTGGGATGTGGAAAAATATTGCCAGTTGGTTGGTTCAGTAAAGATTTGAGTGAATGAGTGGGTGAGATTTATGAAGCCACCTAAGAGGATTTAAAAGTGGAATTGATCCTGCAGATCTCCAAGAGTGAAAAGCTGTTCTCCCATCCTGACCTCCACTCTATGTTGTCTTCAGTTACAGAATCATACAGAAAATGTAAATTCCATTTAAACTGTTTTGTAAAATAACTGAAAATGACAGTGTTGAGTTTTTCTTCCTAATGATTAATGATTCCACAAACTCCCAACTGATTTGATTAAGGCATTTGAGAGAGAACAAAGAGTTTTTCTTCAGGAAGGCTCACTTCTGTCTCCAAGGTCAGTGTCTGTCTGCGTCTCTTTCCTTTGCAGTCCACTCAGTCAACTTTACAGTAATATTGCTAAAGAATAGATGGCAGTCTCTGCTTTCAGCACAGCTTTAGTCCTGCTTCCTTGTTCTGGTAAATGCAAGCACAAGAGTTATCCTGACAGGAAGCTTCCCTGTGGGCCATGGAAACTCCTGTGCCTTCCTCATTGCAGGTCTTCTTAGCTGAGAGCTCTTGGAAAACTGTTCTGGTTCTAGCTGGGATGTGTGAACAACCTCTTTGTCACATATAGCCCAGACAGCTTTATTGGGATGTTTTGAGATTAACTTGCCATCTGAGGAATTTATAGCTACATTCTCCAAAGAACAGTAATAGTAAAAACTTTTTTTTTTTTCTTAGAACCGACCCAGATGTTAATTGTTTAGATAAAGCTCTCTGATGTCTGACTTGGAGTTTTCGTCAGGTGTCCAGGGTTGCAGTTTATGATTGGTTTGTCCTGCACGGACAACAGTGAGTTGGACAGCAGTGGGAGCAAAGCAGCATCAGTACTGGCTGTATGAGAGACCCCTCTCTCTCATACGGTGGGTGAGAGTTTGACTGGTCTGTGGCATGGAAGGAAGATGGGTGGAGGGATGGGAACCTGTCTGGACAGACATTCTGCTGGCACAGGCTGAGCTGCTACCCGGGCTTGTGGAATTTCCTGGGGATGTCAGTGTACACAGTCATTCATTTGAGGGAGCTGAAAGAGCCCCGAGGGCTTTCGGCTGAGAGAGATGGAAACTCGGAGGCAAGGAGACAGTTGGAGTAGAGGAGATTAATGGTGGGAAGTTCCCACCCAAGTCAGGCTTTTGGCAGGATATGACACACAGACTGAGCTCTTCAATCAAGGTGGTGCCAAGTGGCTTGCTCTCTCTGGGCCAAATTGCCCCTACCTTTTATGCACATTATTTCCTTGCAAGGGGGCTGGAGAGAGCACGTTTGCACTTGCTAGCTTTCGTCACCACCACTTCATGGAAAAAAAGGAGGAATAGGGGTTGGTTTTCTTGGGAAAACAACTAGATCTGCTACCACTGGCTAGGCAGATTGCAGAAGAACCAGCCAAGCACGGAGCTCTGTGCTTTCATATTGCTTTGGAACTGAGCTTACGTGGCTTGTTCTGATTGTTGATGTCTCGGGCACCTCCTTCCACCCTGAGTCTTGTACACAGGAGCTGAGTTAGAACAGAAGGTGCCACAAAGAGCAGCTGTCCTACATCTTGTTACTGCAAGGAATGTGATGGCTATTAGAACACGGCATTAGAAAAGAACAGCGCTTGGGGGGTGATCTGGAGCTCTCCCTTGAATTTTAACTGAAGCACAATTTATTTATTTTTTGGCTTGTACGTGACCCCTGATCCTGTCCTCCTAAAACACTGTTCACCTGCAGAATGTGTTCTTTCTTGCGTAAGCCGACTATGTATGTTAGGGTGAAACAGGTCTTTCACACCTTGAAAATGAATGAACTGTTACTGGCAGGATGCATATAGCTAGCTCTTTGAGAATAACAAGAGTATAAACTATTGTGGTGGTCAACAAACTGGGATATCTGGTATGTAGATAAATGTAAAGGACATGTTTAGCACCTGTTCAGGGGTGGGGGATAGAGACTACAGGACCTGGAGAAAGGCCTCTGTCAGAGAAGGTGGCTCCCAGTTCCTGCCACCAGCTGAGTTTTGCATTCGCAATCCTGTATGCTCTGTAGGTCTTCCATTAGTCACTACAAGGTGGACGAGGGTCTACAGTTCTCTCTTCAAGGCAGCTGATTACCGCCATAATCAAGTACAGATGTGCACTGGAACCGCCAGATCCTCTTTCTAGGGAGGTCATGAGACTATTGTCATTCCACATCCAACTCTTGCGACTGCCTTAGGTGTTTAACCTGTTTATTTTTCTTTTGCTGCTGTTTAGGTCTTTAGAAGTCATTGCTGGTCTGGAAAGTAACAGCAAAATCTTCACTATCTACGTACACGGCTTACTGCAGCTGCAGGTAAGCCCGTGCAGGCTGGGAATCACCAGTTTGCTTGGCAGGCTGCGGAGTTATTTACTGGCAAGGCTGAATTCTCACCAGGAGGTAGGGAAGTTTTCATTAACCTTCTTTCTAAGGTTAATGAAGTTAAATGCCTTACCTGGGGTGACGAGGCAGTGGCAGGAAGAGGAAGAAAAGCTAGACTTGTGGTGCACGTTCTGGTCTTAAGCCACAGAAGTAACCTTCCCTCGAAGAAATGCCAGTAAACATTCTTCCCTCTCAAATCTCCCCTTGTGTTGTCAAGGTGCTAATTGTGTTTCCCATTTCATAGAAGGGAATCTGAAGCAGGGGTGACCACTTGACTAGTCCCCCAAAAAGATGCTAGTGCAGTAAGGATCTAATTAAGTAATAAACCAATAACACAGTTTCGCTACAGAAAGTTTTTTCTACTGACTCAAACCTGTACTGCTGCAGTAAAAATGTTTGGTCAGATCCTGTTCCCAGGAGCCACAGCAAAGGGCAGGAGGCTTCTGTGCTTAGTTCATGGTAGCAAAATAGGTTGTTTTTCTCCTTTTACACCGAGACGAAGTGTCTGATGTTTTCCTTTCCCTCTTGTTCTCTCTGCAGGCTGGCCAGTACACCTCCATATTTGTGGACAACAGTGCTGGAGCTCCCATCACCATTCAGAATGGATCCGATTTCATGGGCATGTTAATGGGCGCGTAACATCATCTGCAGCAGTGTAGCAGGGAAGGATACGAGTTAGAGCCTTGCAGTGTATATTTGACTGAAGAAACCTTTACTTTGACGCTCGAAGACTGCTTCCTGTCACCGTTGGCATCTTTTTAAACAAGCAAAGAGCCTTTCCTTTCACAGATACTTCAGCTTGCTTTCAGAGGCTACTGCTTTTCAAGGTCCACACGAGTTCGTTCGCCATAAAAAAATATACTTTTATAATTCAGAAACAAACTCTGTAATATTTAATTTGTGCTTCACCGGATGCTCACTAAACAATACACTGAGATTTGGAATTTGTTACGTTATAACTTTATTTCACAATAGCACTTGTAATCAGCATGTCTTTTGGGATCGATTGCGGGGTGTTTGAGTTTGTAAATGAAGGATTGAGAGGGGAAGTAAAACAGTGGCTGTATTCTATGTGTTGTGGAGGAAGGAGACAAGGATTTGCCAGCAAAACTGCTTTTTTCATACAATTGTAAATGGTATAGGCCCTCTCTCATGTTCAGAATAGCACATATTTGACAAGAAGCATGTTGAATTCTCAGACAATGCCTGCTTCAAAGATGGGAATCCAAGGTCTGAACTCTTTAATTGTGGTTCTTTGTATCTAAGTATTTCCTTGATCTTATTGATGAAGCTGAATACCTCGCTGCCTGTGCAGTTTTGTTTTTATGAAAAGGCCAACGGCACCAGTTCCAGCATGAACTCCCCTACTTATGTTCTTATGTTTTAGTAAGATATACATGTGGGTTTGGACTGCATCACGTAAACAGGGTCCTCTCAGGTGCCAGATAGTCATTTGTAAATGTGTCAAATGCATTATGCTGTTGTCAAAATCCTGGCAGAGACAGTGAGGGTAGCAGCCTGGGATCAGATATGTCACCTGTTTGGTGCTTGTTAACTGCGGTGAAATAATGAAAGAAAACACGAGGCAAGGCTTCCTTCCGTCAGGTGGCCAGGGTCAGAGGGACTCTATCGGAGCTCCGCTTGGAGGGTGAAAGTGCTGTCAAAGACCGTCCAGTGAACGTTTTCTGGGTTTCTGCAACTGTAAGCATGTGATTGAGCCCCTGAAGCAGCTTTTCTTATAGCTCCAGGCTATAAATTCATTTTAACAAAGCAAAAGGGTGTTGACATTTCATGGGGTTAAGGTGTTACCCAAGGTGTGGTAATGTCCTTGTGACTGAGAAAAACCCCACACTCATTTAAGGTAGTTTTGTAGCTTTCCCTTTCAACAGACATCTGGCACTGTTATTGATTTAACTTAGCTGAGGCAACGGTTGTATAACAGTGTCGTGCATCGATGGTAGCAAGGCCCCCAAAAAAGTGCAGATACTTGTTCTTGGATGTTTGCAGCGAATGGAAAATATCCCTTGTATAATGTTGCAATTTTTGATCAACCTCCATATCTTCGTGCAATGAAAACAACGACTGCTGGGGACAGCAGAAGGCGTGAAAAAAAATGCCACCCATTGCTGGGTCTGTTGTTCAGGTGGATCAATACATGATGTTTCCCCGAGCTCCAGTAACGCTGCTGTTGAGGTGGGTGGCACGCAAAGATGTCTTATTTCAAGAGCTGTGGAAAAATCTGCTGTAAAACCCGCATGGTTAAAACTGTGTTGGTTTTTTTTTAATCTCCATTATAAATACTTTGAGACAGATCTTTAAGGGTAATAAATGGTATATTTTCGTTTGTGAAGAACATATTAAAGCGATGCCTGTTGGAGGGGGAAGGAGAGGGTACAGGGAATAATCAAGTAGTGCTGCTACACAAGTGAGGAGAGGTATATTCCACTTTCTCGTCAATGGAATGCAGTTGTTCTAACTGCACCTGTGTGACTGTTTAAAATCCAGCAGCCAACAATGTTTATATATTCATTCTTGCTCCACATACATGCCACATACGTGCCATTCTTGCTCCACATACATGCCACAAGTCCTATGGATTATTTTTTTTTTCTAGTACGCTTTGGGGAGAATGTACTTTTAAGCATAAACTGGGTGCTCTGCTGGCAGAGGGGAGTCCACAGCTGTGGAAAGGCACAGCAAGGAGCACCAGTAGTTGTTTCTGGAGCTTCAGAAAGCGTGTAGCACATGGGAATACCACCAAACCCTGTCGATAAAGATTGGCTGTTTCCACTGGGTTTTGATGGAGGAAGAGTAGTCAGGGCAAGCGGCCTGTATCCCACCATGTATTACTATACTGTACTTCGTCCTGTGTGAATATTTGTAATAAATTGGGCTGTTTCATGCATGACTTACAGCAACGTAATCCAAGTGTTGTGACGTTCAGCGTATGTTGTTATACCTATAGGGTTTTTTTGAACCAAGTCTCACTGTTCTTGGTAAATCAGAGTTGAAATATTTATTTTGTTGTAGAACTAAAAATGTTTGTCAGACTTTGTTTTGGGTTTTGTGACTTTTTTTTTTTCCCCCTCTCCTTTGTTTTTTACCCCTCCTGTGTTTCGCTCCCATGATCTTCTTAGTAGGAGGTGAGTTGTTCTGCCTTTGTACCCGTTCTCCCGTATTTGTACAAGGAGCGCTGTCCCAGCAGGCGTTTCCCCAGTGCGCAGTCTCAATGCCCAGTCAGATGGTCCTGAGGAACACACAGCCCCAACGGGGAAGGCTTCAACCTCCCTGGGTGGAGAGCGTGATTTGCCTGTGGGCACTGTCAGAGAGAGAAGTAAACCACTCTCTCTGGCGTCTCTCTGGAAGCCACGTTGCCTTTCTGCTCCTGCCAGCAGAGACAGCTCGTGTCAGGCTCGGGGAGCGCTGGGAAACGAAGCCAAATTAGCAGAGAAAATGGACATGGTGTCTCTTGATTTGTCCTGAGATCACTGTCGCCACTGGAAAGCTCGTGGGGTTTTGATCAGCTCTTTTTATCCCCAGGGTAGAGGGTTGTCCCTTAAGGTGCTTTCCTGTGCATCACTGAGGTCTTTTAGCCAAAAGATTCTCTTTTATTTTTTTTTTTAATTTTTTTTAAGAGTCTTTCAGCTCTGAGTGATGCTACCAGGCTGCAGTTGTATCCCGGGGCTCCAGCCAGTGTGAGATTGTCCATCCAGCAGTAAACGGAGGCAGAATGGGCTGGAAGAGCCAAGACGCGAGCTGAGACCGGGCCTGCCGTGTTGAGGTGCCAAGGCACAAAACTCCTGACTAATATGGAGAGGAGGCTCCTGGCTGGGCCGGCGCTGAGACAAACACTCCGCGAGGCTTCCGCGCTGTTTGGAGAGAGGAGATTAATGGTGTGCGAAGCAAAGTTCCAGCGCTCCTCTGTAGTCATAAAATTTATAGTCCAAGAAAATTTGAGAACTCGGGAGGACGTGGTTCAGTATGAAGAAGTTGTTTATAACAAAATAAAACCCACGTGCTTGAGCCTATGATTTAATGGCCGAGTGTGTAAATCCCACCCAGTGGCAATGGCTATTCGTGGCGTGCAAGGGGAGAGGTCTAAAAAAGGCACAAATTAAATGGCTTTTTGTTTTTTCCCTGGGTCGCTCGGGTGTGCTCGGTGCCCTGTCAGTACGAGCCGAGGCAGGAGGACGGGATGGGGGCACCTCGCTGTTGAGGTCCTAGCAGAGTAGCAAAGGCAACCGGTTGCTGTGCTTTTTTTTTCCTTCTTTACAATTTCTGAGAAGTTCGGGGTTTCAGGGAAACTGGAGGTGAGGAAAAGTACATCTCTTCTTACTGGAACGAGTTTCTTTCTGACCGTCATTTTTTGAGTTCTTCCCGGAAATGTTTGCCACAGAATCACCTTCAAAAAGGTTCAAACTTGTACTTGCAGTCAAAACTTTGGCCAGTTTTACGTCAAGAGCACTTTCCAAAAGGTTATTGTGATACCCCACACAGATCAGTTCACATTTACTAAAACTTGGCTGTCTTCCCCATGCCCTCGCTCTCTCATCTTCCCCCCGGCCCCTTCCTCCGCAAAGGCCTCACACAACCTTCGCAGCAGTCGACATGAAGCTTTTTTGCTGTGTATACGGTTCAGATTCGGACAAAACTACTGCATAATCGGTATGGTTTTGTTGGGGTTAATGCTCTGTGCAGGTCTCCCTCAAACAAGGGAGATGGGTTCACTATCCAGGGTTTTGAGATCGCTCACGTGGGTTTTTCCTACCTGAGAGCTTTGTGCTTCTGAGATACTGATGCAGAATTTGATGCTCCAGTCCCGTACGACTCTCTGGGCTCCGTGTTCTCATGGATGTATACTGCATTGCTCTGGTTGGTACCCTTCCCTCTTACACGGGCTGCGATGGAAACAGACTCTGCTGCTTAGCTTATATTTCAGGAACAATAAACCAAACCGTCCTAGGATGACCATTGACCGCTAATTTCATTGTCTTTAAGAGTGATTATCTTCACTCATAATTCCTTATTCTAAACAGAGTCCAGCTAAAAGTCTCCGGCTCCAAGCTAGAGTTCCTTGCTTGGTGAAGACGGTAAACATCATCGCCTCGTGCGTCTGGAACGTGCCTCTGCCCTTGTCTCAACGGTCTGGGCTAGGGAATGGTGCTGTTCCGCTCCTTCTACGTTGGGTGCCCTCACAACACCTGCAGGTGACGGTGTTTATGAGCCTGACGGAGACCCCGCTGCGGTCCCTGGCGAAAATGCTAACGCTTCATCCCAGCGTACAGGGAGTTGATCTCGTTCAGGGCTTAACTCCAGAATTGCCTTCCAGGTGTGTTTCTGCCGGCGTGGCCACTATAGACTGTGTCCTATGAGCTATATGGACAAAAGATTGCTGGGTTGTCCCGATCCCGCTACTTTTCACTATCCCCATGCTCAGAAGGGCACGGAGCAGTGCTGGAGCAGCCCTCCAGCTGCGGAATCCGCAGTGAATTCTTTCTGTTTAATTCACTCGGGGCCTCGCAGTCGCCCTTGGACAGGCTGTGGTAGAGTCGGGAGCTGAGCAGAGCTCCCGCCGTAACGCCAGGGCTGTCCCGTTCGCGCCCTTGCTTCTCTCTGCTCACTGCTTCAGACAATCAACAGCATCTTCCAGGCGCTCCCCGAGTATTTTCCCTGGCAGGGAGCTGACAGGTTATGAGGTTTTAAGCTCTATGCAAATTTCACGTTTTGTAAATGATGTCGATGCCACACTCCAGACTGACTCCAGGGGTATTTATGTTGGATTAGCAGCACACCGCCTGCCTTTCCTCACTCCCTAGAAGAGAGCCCAGCACGTGTAAACTCCCCTTG